AGCTTTCTTACCCGTCTCCGCTCTTTGTAAGACGGTAGCCCTAGCCCACTATTCGCACCCGTCGGGCTCGGGTGCGCGTCGCTTCCGGTGGACGCCCTAGCTTTTACTCGATACACTTTATTAGACATTAACTCATTTAGAAGCGACGGGGTGTTTCTCAGCCGGCTTGTCGCGCACCCACTAGGTACAATTGTCGATCGCTTTGCATTGCCACAGCCATCCCACCAGCTGAGGGTAAGCCTGACGCTGGAATCGCAGGCAAGATTTATGTCTCAGAGAGGAATCGAACCCGGGACTTCACCGAAGTAAGATTCCGGAAACGTAGAGCACTAATCACTCAGCTAACTCTGCCTTGTGCTGCTTTTCTGGATCTAGGTTGGAATTTTAAGCATTTCAATCAGATCCTGTAAGCCATTTATAATAGAGAAATACGTTTACAACTTCTTCCAAGGAAACGCTTCGCCGATATGGAAGGCAGATTTGAAATCAGCGTTTCAAGTTACATTTGATAATATAAACCTCATTTCAAATCGCTATTTCGACCAAATATCCTTCCCTTGTCAGCTCTCCCAGACAAATCTTAAGGTATGCCACACTACAGTAACATAAGGTGGGTAACGGTAGGAAGTCAACGCTGCGCATCCTCCTGAATTTGCGTAGGGTGTTATATAAGTCTACTTACGCAAATTCTTAGACGGATTCGCGATGTTGACTTGCTGCTGTATCTACCGCACAACTTAGTGGTGTGGCATACCTTAACATTTGTTTGGACTCGTGTCTAACAAGCTTCTGCTTCTAAAAAATATCATATTGAAAGAAGTTATGACGCGGCCCTTTGCGACGGATTTGTGTGGAAACACGTTTGTTGCAGAAGTTACGGTATTGTACATCTTTCTGTTTGGTCCTTGCGATATGCGGCACATTGCACCGCATGTTAGATTCTATTAAAAGAAAACTTCTGGGAAAGATTATCACTATGCTATTGCAATTAATTTCGAAAGTCGACCTTTACGTTACACCATCATGGACGGAAATTATATTGTTTCCAGCCGATTCTTGGTTAAAACAAGGAAAAGGATTATTTTCACTACTCTCTGTTGGAAATTATGGTGCCAGGAGCAATATGAGCCATTGGCATTCAAGCTTCTGAGTGCTCTGTTTGGAAATTGCCATTCTACTACTACCCCTTCACCGTTGCATTGCTCCATACTATTTTTGAGAACATTCAAGATCCAATCATATGAACTGAGAGTTTGTTCATTAATCAAAACATCAGTTGGAAACGCATGAAGAATGGAGCTACTATACTCAGCTTCAGGTTGGGCAATGTTACAGTCCCATTTACCTGAGCTAGAATAGCAATGATTGCAGTTTTTTTTTATTTTTCAGAATTAAAGTATTTGCGACTTCTTCCACAACTGTGGCTGTACTTTTATCTTGGTATAACCATCACAAAACAAGAAAAATGTTGCCTTACATTATTCTCGCCATACATGTTGTATGACACATGAATACTGGATGTCAAGATTGCGTGTCGCAAAGCGCAATGCATGACTTTACCATCATTTGTTTACAGATTTCTTTTAGTTTATAGACTACTGTTTTCAACAATGGTTTTTGAATAGACTATGCGAGGATTGTTTATTAATAATGAAACCCGTTCTTAGAATTGACTTTTAATCGTTCGAAGCAGCTGCATCTATATGATTTCTATGACACAAGTCACACTACCATATACTGCTAGATTGATATGTAAGAAAAATTCTAAATATATTTGCAAATGATGCAGTAACTTTTTCAAACGAAAAGATTTATTGACACATTATGAAAGACCCGTCTTGAAAACAGTAACAACTTCCAAAGTAAGCTGTACTTAGAAGCGTATAATTTTTATTTTAGGACGTTTTCTGCCCTCTTTATGCCGTGCCTGGAGCATTACCACAAGCAGAAATAACACGACTCCAATCCCCAGTAGTACGAACTCAATAAATCGCATCAATTTTGGCACAAGCACAAATCCCATCCAAAGTTTGTCGTATATGTCATCCTGCAGAACAGCATGAGAATCTTCCCAGAAGATGGGGATAATTGATTTGGGAAGATTACGGTTTGGTCTGAAAATTATAAAAATACTAATTTTCATGATTATTCACCAAAAGTTTTTTT